TTTTTTTCTTTTCATTCGGAGCTAGATATCATATTCTTTGGATTTAGTGCGGAAAGAAAAAAATTAATAGTTAAAATTGTTATGAATTTTCAACATTTTTACAACTACACACGCATATGACTGCGCCGAATTACGAGCAATTTCGCTTCTAGAATTAACGTTTCACACTACTTGCAAAAGATTGGATGGATTTTTTATCTATCTAGATATGTTTTCTATACTCAACACCTATAGTTTAAAACAGTTTTCGGTTTTTCTTTGTTAAATCGATTCGAGTAATTCGAATTTATTAGAGGAGGCAGATTTTCGGCAAAAACGCGCGGAAAACTGAAAAATCCCTCCTTTTTGAAGCCTTATATCTCGATAACCAATACGGTGACCCCCTTCTCTTTTTCATTATTTGAATACCCTAACAATGAACTTCAAATAACAGAATTTTTAAAAAAATTCATAGAAGAATTTTGAAGTTCCGGTACTACCTAAAGCATGCGTAAAAAGTCATTGGCTAMCGTTAAATAATCAGTCACTTTGCTTCAAACCTGGAAAGGTGGTGTGATTATCAAAGATTTTAGCACTCAGTAACTTGCGTCGTTCAGCCCCAATGGACGCCTGCAAATGATGCTACGTTCTGCGGTTTTGCGAATATAAGATGGGGAAGGACCGCATTTCGCCTCTTCCCATCTCTTCTTAATTCGCAACACCGGAGACCTTTGAGCAGGCTAAGCACTCAGTGTCTTGCTGTCCTGTGCCTGCTCTGCATACACATTTTTTTATTTCCCACCTCTTGCTTCACCAATATCAAACAGAAGAGATAACTAGCTAAAAACTAGTGTTAGCTGCGTCGGTGTTTTCTAATGAAACAGTAATGATAAAAGGGTAAATTATACACCGTGAAAAGATGAAAAAACTTACTGACGTTTCGGACGCTGGTCGGAGTACTCCGACGAAGGACTAGCGTCCGAAACGTCAGTAAGTTTTTTCATCTTTTCACAGTGTATAATTTACCCTTTTATCATTACAATATCAAACAGTGAGTCCACCCCGTGAAMAAAATACCAATATGTGAACGTTAGGATTGAATTATGTGTTACGAGGAAAAGTGTTAAAGCTAGGAAAAATCGATTCGAACATTCAAATTCCAATTGAAACTAATGCTAAATTCGAATTTGAAAAT